AAAACGAAGGCCGTTGTCGTCGCTCCACCTCTCTAGACGGGTTACAGCGAGCTGCAACTGTCTGGCAACGTGACGGGCGGTCGTGGCAGAAAACCAGATCGCGAAATCATCGACAAATAGCGATCTGCCGATGGATGGTGCAAGTTTGTCCCCAATATCATTGATCGCCACAGCGAACAGCGCCACACTGAGAACTCCGCCTTGGGGAACTCCGTTCTCTTGCGTAAAACTGCTCGAAAGACAACTGCCAACTCGGACTTTGAACCGACGACCCGATAAAAAGTTCTTGATAAAGAGGCCCATCCGGCCGCGTATGCCGTACTTGTGTACTTTGGAAAGTATTCTGTGTCGTAACACTGTATCATAGGCCGCCTCAATATCAAAGAACAATGCTCCAAGGTGCTTCTTTGCAGTAAAACAGGTGCGTATCTCGGTGTCGAGGGCTAAAATGTGGTCAACAGGGCTGCGGTGCTTTCTAAAACCGCACTGGGCGTTTGTAAAAACACCGTGATGTTCCAGAAACCAGCTAAGACGCACATTGACCATCTTCTCCATCAGCTTTGAAAGCGATGATGTGAGAGAGATGGGCCGATAGTGGAGAGGGTCATGTCCCGACTTGCCAGCCTTCAAGATAGGAATGATAGTGGCTTCCCGCCAGGTCTCAGGGAAAGTGCCAGTCTCCCACAGCGAATTGAAAGTTGCTAGCAGCGCCTCGAGGGCAACTGCCGGGAGATGACGGAGCATGTCGTTGTGGACAGCATCCGGACCTTCTGAGACGCTGCGCAACGAGCTGATGGCAGACGTGAGCTCAGCCATAGAGAAAGGCTCGTTGTACACCAAATTTTCAGCTGTGCTGAAGTCCACGGCGGCTGGTGCAGGTCGTGAGGACGGCTCTCCTCGGCAGCGCTGATAGAGTGCACGGCCTATCGTCTCTGCGACGTCTAAAGGATGGGATATGTCCGTGTTGTTCACTCTTAAAACCGGAAGCGGAACAGAGCTGAACCGGCCTTCAATGCGCTTCATGCGTGCCCATATCTGGGTCGTAGGAGTAAAACGGTTTAAGGAATTCACGTACGTGCGCCATGAAACAGCCTTTGCCTCTTTTAAAACGCGACGGGCAAAAGCCCGCGCTTTCTTAAAAGCGATGAGGTTCTCAGTAGTACTACTCCGGTCAAACTTTCTAAAAGCGCGCTTCCTGGCACGAATCGCATCTCCGCATTCCTTGGTCCACCACGGGACCGGAGGACGACGAGGCTGACTCGACGTCTTGGGTATGCACCCGTTTGCGGAGTCAATGAGTAAAGATGTAAAATCATCTGTAGACATCACAGAGGCGTCGGCTCTGGATAAAACCGTGGCCTCTACGGCGGCCTGGAATTCGCCCCAGTCGGCCTTCCGAACATTCCACCTAGGTGGACGGTTGCCTGACACTGGGGACTCCTGGAGCTCCAGCCACACTGGGAAGTGGTCGCTCCCGAGTGGGTCGTCATGGACGGACCAGGTAAAAAGCTGAGCTAGCCGCGGACTAGCTAAGCTCAGGTCCAGAGCCGATGTTTGACCGGAGGGCGTGGTAAAATGGGTGCGCTTTCCTGTATTTAAAATACAGAGCGCCTCATCGCGGATAAAAGATTCTAAAATTCGACCACGAGTGCCAGTCGTGTCGCATCCCCACACCAAACTATGCGCGTTAAAATCGCCGACTACCAGGACCGGAGGTGGAAGCTCATCGACAAGTCGATGCAGCTCAACCACCGGGAGCGCTATACCTGGTGGAAGGTATAAAGAACAAACTGTCAGCTCCCGGTGGTTGAAATCAACTCTAGCGGCTACCGCCTGCAGAGGAGTCTGCAGCGGAACCTGACGTGCGGGCACACTGTGGTGCACTGCCAAAAGTACACCTCCATGGGCAATGGTCGGGGTGTCTAAGTCTCTTCTAAAAACAGAGTAACCCTTGATGGCAAGGGTAACGTTTGGCGCTAGCTTGGTCTCCTGGAGACCTAAAACAAGGGGTGGGCGCCAACGGATAAGAGACTGTAGGTCCTGGTAGTTGGCCCGGAGGCCTCTACAGTTCCACTGTAGAATAAAAGGCGTGGTTAAAAAGGCGCAAAAAGGGCGCGTATAACATGAGGCAAAGGCGCACACAGATACCTGACTGACCACAAAAAAGGTAAAAAGCACCGAGAGAAATGCACCTGGTAAAAAAGCGCAATAGCGCGAAAAAGATAAAAGGATAAAAGAGGAAATGACTAGACTGAAAGACTAGACTAGGTCCTCTAACTCCGAGGAGGCGCTCCCCCCGTAGCGGATACGGGGGTGCCCTGAGCCCTCTCGGTGAAGCCTCCCTTCAGCAGAGGCAGATCGGGCATGGCTCGGGCCCGGCTGGGGCCTTTTCGACCGGGGGGCGTCGCCCTCCGAAGGTGACCAGCTCGGGGGCGTCTGCCGCTTGGCGAGGCGCCCTGGAGCCGCGGAGGGCTGTTGCCGCCCCGACGGGGATGTCGAGGCGGCGGCCTGTGTCCTCGACACAGGCGTCTCTGGCAGCGGCGGTGGTGGCCGCCGCTGCGGAGGTGGAGGAGGCGGCGGGGGACCCATGATGGGCCGAGTCCCCGCCTGAGGTGTCTCCGGGGTGTCAGCGGCAACAGCCGCATTGGCACTCCCGGAGGCGGAGTCGGCAGACGAGGCTTCCTTAGCCTCGAGGGCCTTCTGGACGAGGCGAGCCCTCCTCGCCTCTCGTGCCTTCCTCTCCTCCTCCCCCCGCCGCAGCGCCTCCTGCACCGCCGTAGACGGTCGGGGGCGGGGCGGGGTGGGTGGCGCCTTACCCTGCGCCGGGGGGCGCCGACCACCCTGTCGGCGCTGGACGACGGTCCACTCGTCTCCACTCGCGGCTGGAGCCGGACTGGGTGGACCCCACACTGACTCCTGAGCAGCCTGCTCCGTGTCGCTCGGCGGCGCACGAGGCGCCGGGGGGTCCGCTGAGCCATCAGTGGCTACGACAGTGAGGCCGAATCGCTTGAGGAGCTGCACGAGCTGTGCAACACTCATCTGGGAGGCATCGGTTGAGTTTGTCACTCTCACCTTTTGGGCATACGAGGTCTTCGGGTGAGTTTGGTTATACACCTCCCGGGCCTCTTTAAACGACAGATTTCTGGTAGCCTTGATGGTGTTTATCTCCTTCTCTTTGACGTATGTAGGGCAGGACCTGTCATACGCGGAGTGCGGTGTCTGCCCCTCTCCGCAGTTGACGCATCGAGGGGTCTCCGAGTTGCACGTATCGTCAGTGTGGTCCTGAGAAGCGCACTTGGAGCATGTGGGTCTACCCCGGCAGTTGTCCTTCGTGTGGCCGAACCTCTGGCACCGATAGCAGCGCATGGGCGCCGGGACGTATGGGCGCACGCGGACCTTGATGTACCCCACACGGACCTCGTTCGGCATGTCGGTGGTGTCAAATGTGAGAATGATGTTATTTGTCGGGACCGTGCCTCTTCGCGTGAGGATGCGGCGGGCGGCTGTCACGCCGTACTCTGAGAGCCCGTCCGCAATGTCGTCGTCACTTACGTTCCGAAGGTCAAAACAATTGATGACTCCTCGAGAGGAGTTCTTGGAGCGGTGTGGCTCCACCGTCAGCGACAAAGAGACGAGCTTCCGACCGGAGGCACGTCCTTCGGAGTACACAAATCGAGTAGCTGATAGGGCCTTCGTCGCCTCTTCGCTGTTCCGGAACTCTACTTCAAGCGCACCGTCCCGCATGCGGTCGCAGCGGACGATACTGCCGAACCGGTCACAGCCATCCTTACGCTGGAAGGGCGACAAGGAGCTCAGCTCCCTGTCTGCGCTCCGGAAGATGAGGATCTTTGGATTTTTCGGTCTTGGATCGTTCAGCGTTCGCCCGTCGGCCGAGGCCGGCGGGCGAGAATCGGCCGAAGCCGAGGGATTGGTGAGAGAGGGAGAGGAGGGGTTGGTCAAGGTATCCATGCGAGTCTGTTGGTCTCCGCCAGCTCGGCCGCCGACGCTCCGCAACGGCGCCGCTACAAGGCCTGGGACGGCCGAGCTGACTGTACGGGACTTGGCGGCACCTTCCGAGGGGGAGAGAGAGACTCACCACCCCCCACGGTCGGATACCGCCTCCTCCCTTGACGCCTAGCCGAGTCACCGCCAGGGGCAGCGACAGATCAGTCCCACCGACGGAGGACGAGCACAAGTGCCCGAACCCCGCCGGCGACACCTCTCCGACACCACCCCCGGCGGCATCACGACTGGGAATGGCTCCTCAAGTGCGGCGCCCCACTGAGTGTCCCGCCCTTACAGAACTCAGGGCCAAAGAGGCGTGTTGCCCAGCCACCGCGACTGGCTCCGCACGGTGGGGGGCTCAACCTCCAGGATCCCGTTGTCCTGGGGTACGGGTCGGCTCGCCTAGCCTAGTAAAACCGGCTGGTACCCGAGGGGACGCCACTCCCCTTACACTAGCCCAACTCGGCTGTGTTCCTGCGGGTGCAAAAAACAACGAAAAAAAAGGGGAAAGGAATCAGAAAGCTGTGATCGAACGAAACGCGGACATCCGGTGAGAAGCAAAGCAAAAGCAAACAAAGACCGCTCAAGAGAAACAAAACCACGGAAACCAAGAACAGTCGGGCCGTACCATCTGTCAATCCAGTGATCAAAAGCAAATCGTGAGCAAGCATGGGTCAAGCTGGGGCCGAGGGGGCGCTACTCCCCTTGCTGGCCGAGGCCAGGGCCGCCGCGGGGCGAGGGCCCAAGGAGCCCAGTCCAACAGCGACCCTGGCCACTGCCAACCCCCTGCGGGGGGACATTGTAGAGTTTACTATTCAGAATGATATCCTAAAAAGTAATGTGTGCTGTCGATTTAATGTAAAACGTGTAAGATGGTGTAGGTACTATATTTTTTGTAAAATGTGAGTGGTGTGTGGTTCGCGCCGTTCCTCACCTTATGCATGTAAAACAATATGTTGGCACAGACATTGACAATGCTTTCTCTCTTTTTTCAGTCGATATCATGTTCATCATAGATATTCTGATCAACTTCCGCACGACATATGTCAACAAGAATGACGAAGTGGTGTCGCATCCGGGCAAAATTGCCGTGCACTACTTCAAAGGCTGGTTTATCATTGACGTGGTGGCGGCAATTCCTTTCGATATTCTGCTTCTTGGAACAAAAACCGACGAGGTAAGCACTCCTCCGCTCACATGCTGACCCCGCCCGGCGGATTCTCACTCCCTCCACACACTTTGGGAGTGTCTGTCTGTCTGTCTGTCGTCTGTCTCTGTCTCTGTCGTTCGTTCCTATACGGCATGCTTGTCTCACGTTTCGCGCTCTCACAAATCTGGCGTTGTGCGCTCAGTGCAGTGACACAGCCCGACTATCTCTTCCCTCTCTTTCTATCTATTTTCGTCAGAGCTCATCACCATGCATTCATGCATACCTTTTTGCTTTATCTGTCGTATTTTCGCCACTACGACACAGTCAAGCTAAAACTGGAACCATATGTGTGTAGTATCGCCACATCAATAACTCAGCTGAATACTTGTTGCTATGTTTTACATGTTGTTTCGCTTGTGTTGTGTATTAGTTTTGTTGTTTTAATGCGCTAATTCGCCAGCTAACGCTGAATGATAGTATTTACTGTTAGCTATGAAAAACATTTGTGTATTCAATCAGCTAAACAGTGCATGTTTTTTAGCATCTGCCGTACCAAAAACGGTATTGGTCGGTCTAGACTATGCAATGATTGGTTGCCCTTTACACTAAATCTATTTAAAGGAAATAGCTCGCCAATATTGGAATTTGTTTGAAAACTCCTGTTATGTATTGCAGTGTTTTTGTTTTAAGGTAGCACCTGGCTCATCGTTTCGCCATATTCAAGTGTCATATTTTATCCGAGTAACAAAGTTTCCCATTTCAAATAAAAGCGGAAATGTAATGATAGGTTTGCATCGTGATTTGTATTTGTCAATATACCTGAACACCCTACTTAAATACTTGGTGATTATCTTGGCTGTCCAGTGTTAAATATTTCAAATATTGACTACAGACCCTGCTAGAGACCCAGAATGATTGGGTGCATTATACATTTCCATTTGAAATTTCTTTCATTTTGCAGTGAATGATCAACATGTGTTGTTTCCATATAGTTTTCAGTACATTTGTATGTTAAATTATGTGGTGAGCTATTTCCTTTAGTAACCAAGCATAGACTTTGGTAAATAACTTCAGTACAGTTCTTTTATTTAAGTTTCAAAATATTTTGCGTCATAGTCGATCGCGCGGCGATCGCTACTACATTTTCGGCGTTTTTATTTGAAATTAAAAGAACTAAGAATGTATCAATTTGTCATTAATATTTCACGCTCATATTTCATAAAGGTCTAAACGTTTTATGACCCATAAAACTGTAAACGCAAGTATGTAAGTTTTGCTAAACTTTTTGTAAATTTTAAACACAATAATTTCAAGCGCAGTAACTAGATGATAGTGCGTATGTGTACATGACGTCGCCTTTCGTTCCCCACAGAGTCTTTGGATTATTCTAACGTGGTTCTCTCTCTTTGTCTTTCTTCCATGGCCTGTTTCGCCCCCTACTGGTGAAATGCGCGCTGTTGGTTTTATGTGCTTAATCGCAGTCTGTGAGTAAGCAACCTTCATTTGCCGGCTTGGTTTTGGCTTGATGGTTTTCCTTTTTCTGTTGTGGTAGCCGGTCGTCTGGCCGGTGGAATTTTATTGTCACCACTGCAACAATACATTGCCAGTTCACCCCGCCCGTTTCTCAGGTGCATTTCGGGGCGGCCCACCGTCCCGGGTGGTTCCTGTCGCCCGTTCCCCCACCGCCACCAGCCTGGGCCCTGTACGCTCGATACTTTTTGCAACTCAAACGGAAACGTTTTTATCAATAGCTATATCAAAAATCTAGACGTCACTTTAGCTGCGATTTGTCACACTTTTATCGTCACTTTTGCCGCGATCTGTAGAGATATACCTCGTGGTCTCTGTCATGCATATATTTATTCGATGAAAACGGCACGGCACCGACGCGTCTTTGGACAGGATCGCTTCACCAGCCGTTGCGCTGTCAAAAATAGCACAACGCCGTCTGATGCCTGTACAGAATGCGCCACCCGAAAAGTTGTGTATGGTATATTGAGTCGTTTTGAATCCGATTTCCCGACTGGTATGGTTTGTTTTTGCATGATCTCATTACTGGTTAAGTGTCAGAATGTGATCGATCTATTCATTTCAGCCGTCAACGTTATGACACAAAACGAATTTCGATTTGTAAAGTAGAGAGGTAGCAAATGGTGTAAATATATCGTGGAATTATTTACGGTGTAATAGTACGTTAATGTGTAAGTGGTAAAAGCCTAGTCAAATAGTTTGGAAAGTGGTTATAAAGAAATGCTATGTAGTATGATAACAACCTACCTATTGTTCGCACTTGGAGAAACCCTCGACCATATTACGTTTTCTGTTTAAGTTTGTATAGATTGGAAAGTTTAAACACAGGGCTTTAATAACCAATGGCTGTGCTGGAAGACTGTGACGTGGCAGCTTATTATGCATTACTTTATTCTTGTCGTCAGCTGTGATACTACTGACAGGCGTGCTCGTTCAATCGACCATTCAATCATTGATTTAAATTGCTTTCTCATATTCTGCACATTAAAACTGTCCTTTTATAAGCATTGCTTTCTAAGGAAACTGACATTTTGCTGACAAAACGATAAGCCAACAGCAATTAATTAAATAATGAAATATTTCAAAGCAACACATTCCTGTCAAAACTGTAGGAAAATTGAGTATTTTTAGTTTCCAATGTCACGGCTTCGGCATAATAAATCGCAAGCCTAACGCATTTATATAAAAAAACTCCTAATGGAATGAATGACACACAACATTTCCATAAATTGAGTGCAGTAACCCGGTGTGTGAACAATCCGACTGATTTCCTTTATTTCGATTGTTTTGCATGAACTGCCATAGGATGAAGTGAGTGCATTTCGTTTTGTTTTCCAGGATGTCGATAGTTAAGTTTGGAATAATTATGGCCTGTGATCCCAAGGTAACGTGTGTGCTCAATAGACATTTACTCTGAATGTGTATACATTTTATCAAAAATAGAAATTTAGTGAGTACCTACCCGTAATGAGCTGACAGTTGTCAGAGTATAGCATAGAATAGCGCAACCATAGACGATGAATGTCAAATCGAAGCGCAAAAATACAATGGTTCAATAATTCGCTTTATTAGACAACGCTACATTGCCTTTTGTGTTGCTTTCGCACTTTACGATTACGTAGGAATGAGCACCTAAATGCTATCAGACGATGTCTATTGATATTAATTCAAAACCAAGTTGTCTTAGTGCAAACTGCATAGTCTGCTTTATACTTGCATTTACCAATGGTGATATCCCATTGCATTAGTATGTGGACTTAATATTTGTTTATAAAAGATACGGTATTGTGCTAAGTTGGTGAAGACAAATTGTGGCCTGCAAGTTCAAGCAGTTTTAGGGATGTTTTCAGGCAATAAAACACCGCTCTATTTACAATATCATAACATTTTATCAATTGCATCCAATAGCGACAAAACAACGAATTCATGTCACATTGGTATCGGCTTCACTGGCCCATCGAGCACATGCCTTTCAACGATGCCATGTTCAGTTCACAATTTAGAAAATATTTAAATAGCTAGGTCACATATCTTGAATTCATTAACATTCCTCTGCTGTATTTCTCAGTCTAGAGTAAAGTGATCCCTCAGAAACATCTACAAGGAAATGTGCATTACAAGCAGCTTTTTTTATTGAGTGTCGGTCCCAAAGTCGGTTGTAATGCGCGTTTACTTGGTTCAGGTTTATCGGATTGAATAACTTAACTATGCGTTTATTTTAATGCCAAATTTATCGCGACTCGAACACTATATAGCATCTTCTTATTTTTTTTCAAACGTGGTACTTCTTATTCGACCTCAATCCTAGAGCAAATTTGCGATGGTATTTGAGGGACTCAACTTGCCCTTCACACAAAACCAAAATTTTGATAAAACTTCTGGTTTTGAAGCCGTTAAACACCAAGCTAACATTCCTGCTCTTCCTTTTACTAAGCTCCGAGCCTTAGTTTGACGATTCATATTTCATACTGAGCACTAGTGGTACACCCCCAAAACCCTGTGGTGCAAAATAAGTCGCTATAAGACGATTTGATATATTTTCAAACCATGCACAATTCAATACCTGTTTTGTTGCATCAGCATTAAAGGGACTATCCCACCTTCTAAAATGTTGTTAAAACCAGTTAAATTGTGCCCGACTTTATAGATTGGATGACCAGGAACACGGTTCTGGCATTTATTTTTCATTAAACATCTTAGGCTTCCCATATTCCAAACACAAACTTTCAAATATGTGACATCACACTTCACAGCCCAAAATTACCTCCTTCCCCAGGCCACATTACTGTCATAAAGCTGATTCTTTTTACTCTGTAGGCACCACAAGAAAGTTCAGACCAGGTTTTTAAGCGATTTTTCAACGAACAAACCCATTTAAATCAGAATGACTAAATGAGGTGACGTCACACTAACGGTCGCTCCATGTTGAAGATAGGGCCTTGCACAGCCCATTTTCAAATGAAGGGAACGAATTTCTTCAACACCAAGAGGCCGCGGGGGTTGCAACCTAGATAGATAGTGGTTTCTGAACCTCGCCGCAAACTTGGCTATTGTTGTGCCCGTAGTCGTCCGTAATATCCGTACCGCCGCCACGAATCTCGCAGTCAACAGCCACGTGTCACTTCAGCCGGTATATTGCCTCAGCACGCATGGGAAATGGACAACGTCACTTATGCGCCACGAACGCAACAGTCATGGTTCAACTAATTCGCTGCACAGTTCCCACAATACGCGCGGACACAACACCCTCCCCCGCATAACAAATGCCAGCACAGTCACTTGCTATCGCTCCCTAAGGCGAATACCTAGCGGGAGGCCTTCTCGCCCGGGCACTGCGCCTCAGAACCGGTACTGACTGCGGACGCAAGGCATCACACATAGCGGAATCATTTCCATCAGTCACAGTCAAGAAAGGATCCCACGGAGCTTGGGAGGTCACAAGCGGAGCACCCGCTGATACCAGTCGTCGCGCGTGGACTCTCTCGCCGTTAACTAACCTATAACTGACGGGCCCGGTCTGCCGTGCTACCCGCACCGGCGGACCGTACTCACGACCTTTCCCGGTCGGGACTCTGACCCTAACCCAATCTCCTGGTCGCCAACTCGGGAGCCGTCGGCGGCTGTTACGATCGTACCGCTGTTGGTAGGCACGCTGGTACTTCTTGGCGTGCTCGCGCACCGGCGCGTCCTCCGCCCGCTCCGGAGACATTACATCCAGAGGCGTGCGCATACCGCGGCCCCTGAGCAACTGAAACGGGGACTGACCGGTACCGGGGTGAGGAGTCGCCCGATAACTCATCAGGAAAGTACGAACGTACGTCGCCACAGACTGTCCCAGTACTCGTGACATGGCCACTGCATCTTTCACAGTACGATTTAGGCGCTCCACCATTCCACAGGTTTGTGGAGAGTACGGTGAGCTCCTCAAGTGGCGAATGCCGCCTGCTCTCAGGAACTGCTGGAATTCCTCCGAACAGAACTGAGAACCATTGTCAGTGTGCAGACGCTCCGGAAAGCCCTCTCTAGCGAACACACCTTCCAAGAAATCGATAACAGACGCAGACGTAGCGCTGGGCGTGAACGCTACCTCTGGCCAGCGACTGTACCGGTCCACAAGCACCAGACCGAACCGGTACTGAGGATGACCACCAGACAGCGGCCCAATAATGTCCAGCTGCAGGTCACGCCACGCTCCCTCCGGCAGCGGAATCGGCTGGAGAGGAGGCGAACATGGAACGCTGGACTTACTGTGAGCCGCACAAAGCGAACACTCCGCGAGACCGTGCTCGACCTCGCGGTCCATGTTCGGCCACCAGTACTTCTCGCGGAGGCGCTGCTTGGTACGGACTTGGCCCTGATGTCCCTCATGAGCCAAATCGAACAAACGCTTACGGAGGGCAGAGGGCACCACCAGCCTGTGGCCCCTGAACAACAATGAGTCGGCACAACTGAGCTCGTACCTGACCTGATGGTATGCCCTGAGCTGCGGCGGAACATCCCTCGAGTGCGGCCACCGTCCTGACTGCACCGCGGAAATCACCGCCTGGAAGTGCTCATCGGCGGCTGCTGCCGACCGCAACTCGTCCCGTGTAACAGCTGCCTGTCCACAGATGAGCGCGATCTCCACTTCATCATCATCCCACCATGAGTCATCAGCCACAGGCATACGAGACAACCCGTCGGCCACAGCATTATCAGCCGACTTCAGGTACGACACATCAAAAGAATAGGTCATTAGTCGCGCTTCCCATCTCGCTATTCTGCGCCCCGCACGGTTGGATCCCTTCGGACCGAAGATGGTTATCAGCGCCTGGTTATCTGTTCGAAGCAAGAATCTACGTCCCCACAAGAACGCATGCCACTTCTCGACCGCCACACGGCACTGAGTGCTTCCTTCTCGACAGCCGAGTACGACCGCTCGGCGGAGGACAGCACTCGGGACGCATAAGCGATGACACGCTCCTCCTGCCCACATATCTGACTTAGGTATGCCCCCAAACCCACCTCACTGGCGTCAGTAGTAACTACTGTAGGAAGCGCGGGGTCGAACAAAGCCAGTGAGGGGGACCGAGCTATCCTAGCCTTGACCTGAGTGACAAGCTCGACTGCCTCTTTTGTCATCTGAAACTCATCCTGACGGAGAAGCGCTCGCAACGGTTCAACCAAGGTTGAAAACCCTGGAATGAAACGTGCGTAAAAACTCACGGAACCAGGAATGAGCGAAGCTTCGCCGGGCTGTCCGGAGACTCAGCCTTCAGAAGTGGAGCGATCCTCTCCGGGTCCAGCTGCACCGAGTTACACGAGACTCGGAGACCCAGGAAGGAGATGGATGACACCCCGTACACGCTTTTGGCCTCGTTCACCTTCACCTTGTGACTGCGAAGAACAGAAAGAACCTCAGACACGCGCCGATCGTGCTCCTCCTTACTGACACCATGAACTACAATGTCATCCAAATACACTTCGACCCCCTTGACACCCTTGAACATGTCACACATGATACTTTGGAACGCTGGGCCACTCGAAGCCAACCCGAACGGACAGCGGGTGTACCGGAACAGTCCATCATGGGTAATGAACGTAGTTAAGTCACGAGAGTCAGGGTGCAGATCAACCTGGTGGTAGGCATCCTTCAGATCTATCACTGAGTATACCTTAGAACCCTGTAGGCGGTGAAGGATTTCCTCCATGTGGGGAATAGGGTAACCGTCGGTCACTACGGCTCGGTTCACCTGACGCAGATCCACACACAGTCTAATCTGGCCATTACGCTTTCGCCCAACCACAATCGGTGAGACCCACGGGCTAGCATGGACACGTTCAATCACACCAGCACTCTCCAGCTCTGATAGGCGAGCACTCACCTCCTCGCGGATAGCGAGTGGAAGGCGGCGGAGAGGCTGACGAACAGGGCTCACAGCTGGGTTGACGGTTACCTTGTGCTGGTAACCCTGGATCACTGGGATATCAGGTGGGACATCAGCTGAAGAGGTGCCTGGATAGGCAGCAGCCCCCACTGTGGCACCTTGCTCAGCAGGACCACTGAGATTGCACACCTCGTTAGCCACAACATTGACATTGAATTTCTGCATCAGGTCAAGACCCGTTATGGCACACCCATGTGGCACCACGTACACACTGACACAGCTGCGGACGCCCCTACATTCCATGTCTACATCACACGTGCCAAGAACCTGCAGTACAGAGCCACCATATGCCTGGAACTGACTAGTAGTAGGTTTCACCTCTCTGTCCTTCACCCAGTGCCATGGCACCATGGACACCGGGGAGCCTGTGTCAACCACCATGGGCTGAGACCTGCCACCGAGCACCACAGGTACATGCAAACGTCCATGGTTCACAGTCATGATGGTGGCGGAAACAGCATTGACACCAGCCACAGCCCTTTTTCCCCGGCAGACACTGGCAAAATGCCCTATCTTACTGCACTTGTGGCATCTCGCCCGCCTAGCCGGACACTCCCTCGACCGAGCCAGGTGAGGGCCCCCACAGCAGAAACAGGTGGGGTCGGGAACAGCCCCCTTACTTGCAAGTGGTATAGCCGGTGGAGCAGGTCGAGCACCAGCACCAACACCAGAAGACTGGTAGGTTGAACGCCTAGGGACAGCTCCCTGCCCCTGGCGAGGTTGCACAGCGCTGACCACAGGAGCTACCGGACGCGATGGTGGCCTGGCAGAGGCCACCCCCTGCTGCATGACCAAAGCCTCCCGCTCAGCAGTTTCCACTGTCTCGGCAATGGTCAGGGTCTTCTGCAGGTCCAAGTCGTGTTCCAGAAGAAGTCGTTGACGGAGACGAGAAGAGCTTGTCTTTTCGACAATTTGATCGCGCACGAATTCATCCACTCTGTCGCCATAGTCACATGTAGAGGCCAGCTGCCTCAGTGAGCTTACCCACTGCGCAGTTGTTTCAGAAGGATTCTGGGCACGAGACCTGAACTTGTATCGTTCTGCCACCACATTGGTCTTGGGCCGGAAAAAACTGTCAGAGCACGAATTGTTTGCTCCAACAATGTCTCCCCTTCCAGCTTCACGGTTTCAGGCAGGGAATGGTAGATACGCTGTCCCTCTATGCCCAAGCAGTGCAAGAGTAGGGCACGTTGGCGGGCTTCACTGAAATCCTCGCCCCCAACGGCTAGGAGGAAATTCCGAAACAGTGGCAGCCAGTGAACCCACGGAATCGGTGGGTCACCAGGGGTGGGCAGGAACGGCGGCGGCCCCGACGCTGAAAAAGCGTCCATCTTGCAGCAGAAATCAAGAAAACAGTTCGTAGCCGTTCACAAAATCCTCGTCGCCAATCTTGTTGTGCCCGTAGTCGTCCGTAATATCCGTACCGCCGCCACGAATCTCGCAGTCAACAGCCACGTGTCACTTCAGCCGGTATATTGCCTCAGCACGCATGGGAAATGGACAACGTCACTTATGCGCCACGAACGCAACAGTCATGGTTCAACTAATTCGCTGCACAGTTCCCACAATACGCGCGGACACAACAGCTATCTCAACTCAAACCCCATGTTAAAGGTGGGATAGTCCCTTTAACCTAAACAGCAATGATATTTTTACTGCTGACCATTTCAGAACCCATTGCGTGCTCTAATCTGCCGAAGTGGTGCCAGTCATAGTCGTTCACAGCGTTTTGCTTGCCTCTAGCATTTGAGTTGGTCCTGTTTTCGGGGCGTGTTTTGGTTACCTAGTGGGCCATGCTCTGTACAGATGCTGATCAATGTCGTGCAACCAACATGTTCTGGTTTCATGATCTTGCAAGCGATAACTTTGACTAGCACTGAGCGCTGCCGCACCGTGTGGGCCCGGATCTAGCCATAGACTACTTCATACCGTGTTAGGCATTGCAGTCAATCTCAGGATTCTAGCTTTATGGCTGCGGAACGTCAGACCGCTTTTTTCTGTTTTGTGTGAGGGTTACCTATTTTCGTCTGCAGAACAAAATTATTTTTGAATGGGCTTGCGCTGGCATGGTTTGCCACTGAGTGCATTACTCATACAGGCGGTCGCTTAGATGTTCCACTGAAATAAACCTTGAATCGAATCGAGTTGATGATGAAGCCTAAGGGCACCTGTACTTCTTTAATTCGATTTGCATTAGCTCCATTTGGGGGTAAAATCGCTTGCGAACCGTTTTCTCGGCATATCCCAGCCGTCTCAAACCTCTAACAACTGGTTTCCTTGTGCACGACCACTGTAACGTAGCGTTTTCAGCTGTGTGCGGTGCCGGGACGGGGAGGCGGCGGCGCGGGCCTGCCGGCGGGCGGCGCTGACGGGCCGCCGGCCGCTCGTCGTGTCGTCTCCTGTTGCAGACCACCACACTGATCGGCCTGCTGAAGACGGCCCGACTGCTGCGGCTGGTGCGAGTCGCCAGGAAGATTGACCGCTACTCCGAGTACGGCGCCGGCTTCCTGCTGCTGCTGATGGCCACGTTTGCCCTGGTCGCCCACTGGCTCGCTTGTATCTGGTTAGTCCTCGGCCGCCCCCCACCCCACCCAAAAAAATCGATTGAAAGTTATTGGAAACTCATTCTGACGTGTTGATTGCTCGTTTGCTGTAAAGGCAGATAACCTGCGTGCATGATGTGTAGCTGTGGCAGGCGAGTTGGTACACCAGCTGTCTGGAGTCCGAAACAAATGAATCCTTCCTCAGATACCACACCACATGCAATATCAATAAATTATTTCTTTTGGTACTCATTCACATCGACTAGCAAGAAATCAATGAGCAACGAATCCCTTCTCCCAATATCGCTACAACTCGCTATTGATGGATGTAATTAAAGTGATTCTATCTGCCTCATCCGTCCCCGGGCTGCTTTTGGTTGTTAAAGCATTTATCAAAATCAGATAAGCTGCTCTGTGACGATCTTTTTCCTCGTTTTTGTCGTGTCTTGACATATCGTGAGATAATTTGACCGTCTAGATTGGATTTGTTACCTAACGGCAGTGATTTGATTACCGTCACATTCTTACCTGACACTCTTCTGTCCGATGTCTCCTCCTCGTTTCCAGGTACGCCATCGGATTCGCAGAGATGTCGAATCCCACAGGGTGGCTGCACCGGCTGGGTGAGGAGCTGAACGTGCCTTACGAAAACGGCGGCTCAGGACCCTCCATCAAGGTGGGTACTGGGTGCTAATGTGAGTCACGATTTCCCGACGTCACGCAGACATACAGAAACTTCTTTCTGTGTGATCTCGGGGTCCCTTTCACCTTTCTCCTTCCTCGTGATTTTTTTTTCGAGATTTTTTTTTTTCACTGCGTTGCATTGCTCGCACGATTTATGTGCTTGTAATTTTTAGAGAATGTATCACTTTGAACACCACATGGCATTATTCTGCCACATAACGACAAAAAGCCAATGGAGTTTGCAGTCTGAGCAGCTCCTTGTCTCTGGCATATTTCCATCTTTCACCTCATTACTGACACAACTGCTGACGGCTGCCATGTAGGTCGGACATTTCCATATTGCTGAACGCCATCGGGGTCTATGTCATTACGGTAATTACGTGGTCTGGTCAGGGTGGCCTGCCCAGAGTCTCAGAAGATGGCGATTCTTTCAGGTTTTTTATTTTCACAAGAGAGATAGCAAAATATGGCATTACACTGCATAGTGCTGCAAGGCCTATTGTCGACGACCTGGTTGTTTGGATAAAATTCGCCTGCGACATTAGGAAATAAATTTTGACATTTTATCTTTTTATGATAGATGCACCATGAACTGGTATATTACTGGTAATGATTAGTCTAAGTGCACCGTTTTGAACTGTTACTCTGAATCATTCAATATCATAATAATTTTTCGGTACGTTATTAAATAGTGTGCGACCTTGTATTCGTGGATTACAGGTGGACGAAGCATTGGGGACATACCCTACGCCATCACTACTAATAGCTATGATATCCCAAATGCAGCTGCGCCATCAGCATCAGAATTCCATGATTGCAGCACGTTGCAAATGGTTCGCATTACCAGACATTTCCATGCAGCAGTGCGATTGATTTTTCCGGCCGGAATATTGCTGGCGCCGCTCGGCCGCTGCGCCACTCTGTCCGGGAGCTGGCGGATTTTGCCGTCCGCTGCCCTCTCCTCGGCCTCTGGGGAGGCGGTGTTACGCGTCTCCTCAGTGGGAGCAGTGGGCCGTGCCAGCTGCCGGCCTATTGATAAGGCTGGCACTGTTAGTAGGCGCCCGCCGCTCGGACGCGATTCGACGAACCCTGCCGGCGCGCCGCGCTATGGCGGAGGAACTCAACAGACGCGGCCGACCCTGCAGTCGTCCCGCCCCGGCCATCGGTCGTTACAAGGCGCCTCACTGGCTGAGAACGGCTCCTCTATGGAGGCTGCGATGGCTGTAGTACTGGGAACAGGGTGATGAGCCGCGAACAATGTCTCACTGCCGACTCCGTCCTTCGTGCTTCTGGTGAACCAGCGTCAAAGTCATCTTCTGAACAGTATTAGATGAATGCATTAGTTTAATGAGTTGGCCTGGGTGAATGATTACCACTGAGATTAGATTATTGTCCGAGAGAAAATTATGTTGTCAGAATGCTTTGAAAATTATTGAAAGTAAAAGCACATCCGTGTAAACGTTTTATCAGGGTCAGCTCGTCCAAGGTAAATGGCGCCGCGCCTGGCTCGGGAATCTAATCTAGGAATTCTCATTATCTGGAGAATTCGGCGATGACAGGAGCCCTGTCGGGATGACTGAACACCAGTTTTTGCTGATCTATAGAGGACGACCAGCATCTCTGCTGCCCTTTCATTCCTGAGCTCTACGTTCACTTTTAAACCACGCGAAGAAGTAAGTTCATATTGACATTTTCTTCGGTGACTTTTTTAGGCACTTCATTAGTCAGCAGCTCCTCAAAAAAAGTCCGACGGTGAATGACCGAGGTTATGACTTTTCATTAGAATTTCGGCGCAAATTTGACAGGTCTTGTAATTGCTTTCGAGCATGGGCCATTGCGGGTCTTTTTGAAGACATCCCTTACCCATCAGATATTATGTAGGTAATAGAAATAGAATTAAGCTCCTGTCACATCCGTATTTATCATATCATTAATTTAGCATATGTCATATCGGAGCATGCAGCAGACAAACGTGACAACTTCCCTTCGTTTACAGAGTAGTAGAGTGTGTCGTACTCGCATTCATATGCAAACTTGGCCCCGTGTCATCAATTCAATATATGCAGGTGACGCACACAGCACCCGATCACCGTCATAACGGGACGCTCAGTATGCAATGCCGCCGCCTCTGACCGTTTCCCAGCAGCAGTTAGACGTGACTGGCGTGGGCGAGCGTGTCTCGCTCGCTCGGCTGTGACGATAATGCGCGCCGTGCGTTGACGTGCCGTGTACGTTGACGTGCTCTCTGCCGCCTGTTTCAGAGTCGGTACGTCACAGCGCTCTACTTTACGTTTACTGCCATCACGTCTGTGGGGTTTGGCAACGTGGCGCCAAACACAGACGCAGAGAAAATATTCACCATATGCACAATGCTAATTGGCTGTGAGTATAGCGTCACATCACTTTGTCGTCATGTTTTGATTTCCTATCAAAGTTAAATAACATTTATTATGCATAGTTTGTCAAAAAAAACCTTGGTAGTTTTTTACATTCACTTTTTTGCATATGTTCCACTACTTATTGTCAAGCGTTTGGTGTATGTTCCCGTCATGTGTCCATCGTTGGTCGCTGCTGCCGGTTTCCAGTTTCCGTCGAGTGACTGGCGTCGCTCGCTGTGTTTACGGAGGCGGCTCGTTCCGTTGTCCCTGCCGCCGTCGGCAGTGGTCGGCTCCGGGCCGACTCGAGCTCGGCTCGGCCGGCGGCGATTCTGTTTACCTGACCACCACCTGGTGGCGGCCCGCCGAGTCACCTGTTTACCGGGCCCAGCTGCGCCCAGCCGGCCCGCCAGAGTCGGTCCCGAGCGGCCGCGAGCGGCCGGTGGACGGGCCTGGCCTGAGTGGCCTCCGGTGGTCGTCCCATCTAGCGGCTTACGTCTCACCGAACAGTCCCAGTGCGCTGGTCCGCTGTTCCATAGTGATCTGTATACAAGATCTCTACGCGCTGTTCCCCACCAACCAACCGGCCGGGCTCAGAATCGCGAGTGTTGTTACACTCTGACCACAGACTGAACTGTCCCCGTGGCCAGAAATGGGGATGAATCAGCGGAGCGATGAGTCATGCAAAACGCACATTGGGACAAGCCATTCCCTCCTTCCTGTTACACCCTCCTTTGATCCTGCTCGATCAAAGGAGCTGGGCTCTTTGATTCTGGCTGTGTTTATGCGCAGTAGTAGGGAATTCACCTAACCACCCAGCTATTTCATTTCTTCATTGAACATGTAGTCCTGGTAATACCCCAGCTAACGTCTGCTATCCCCGACAGCGCTGATGTACGCCAGTATATTCGGTAACGTCTCGGCGATCATCCAGCGACTCTACTCGAGTACCACGCGTTACCACACCCAGATGCTGAGGGTGAAGGAGTTCGTGCGATTCCATCAGATCCCGAATCCGCTCCGGCAGCGACTCGAGGAGTACTTCCAGGTAGGTGACCAGGTGTCTCGCTCCTGCTGCCGCAGGATCGACGAGACACTCGATTGGCAGTCGTACAGTGGAACTGTTAGAGCTTTAACCCGCGCCCCGTAGGGGGGGGGGGCGAAACGGCCCCCCCCCTGTCCTTTTCGGTCGATATCTCCTAAACCGCTTCAGATACCGCCACCAAACTTTCAGGACCCCTCCGGGCATCAATTTTACACATTGTGACCAAAAATTTTTCCAGAGGCTATGATAGGTTGGCCACAAATGACGTCAGAATGACGTCATGTTCTGTCATTTTCGACCGAAAAAAGACCTTCGCGAGAAGACCTGTCAGGCCTACAGCTTTGAAGATACAGAAAAATGATCAGACATAAAAGATGTAGAATTGACAGGGCTACAAAACTGCTATCTCGGATTTTTGAAATTTTTGAGTTTTGAACCCCAAAAATCAAAAAAATATTTTTTTTTGATATATTAGCCAAAAAATCCAAAAAGTTTTTTGAGTTTAAAAAAAAAACGGAATATACGTGATAGTACCTACCGTCTTCTATCTACATACCGAATTTCAGATCGATACCTCGTTTTTTGGCCAAGTTATAGCGAAAAAAACTGTTCAAAATTGATGACGTCAAATTTTCAAACTCAATTTTTGGCAGTTCTAGACCTCGTAGAGCAAAACAAAGACCACCATTAGACTCCCCGTGACGAGCTGCATCGAATCGATACCCATTTTATGCAAAAATATCAACTTTGAAATTTGACCTTATTTGACCTGACCTTGACCTGACCTTCACCAAAACGTGACCTAGGCTGGCCCCAAAGGCTGCCTAACCCACATAATCGCATTTGTCATGTAAAATGGACCATAAAACATGTATCACACGACACTTTCATATTGTGACCCCGGTGACCTGACCTCGCTGTGACCTGACCTGGTATCAGTGACCTCAGATAGCAAAGTATGTGTTTGACGAACAATGCACCATCGATGGTTTTCAATAAATTACCAATTAACTCGATTTCACAACACATTTTTGAAATGCCTGTGAACGGTGAAAATCTGACCTTTGACCTGACCTGTGACGTCATCGGTTTGACCTAGGTCAATGAAATTTGGTCACAAGGTAGTTCCCGGGTGGGGCTATCGAACGCCGTTTGAATTTTGAAAATCGGCCGGTAACTTTCCGAGATCTTGGGGGGGGGGCCGAAACGGCCCCCCCCCCCCTACGGGTGGTAGGGTCCGCCGGTAGCCCTACGGGGCGCGGGTTAAACGCTGTGCCGTGCTTAATTTGGTTATAAGTGAAAAATTAGCCATGTAAGTCTTGGTATGAGCTCCAAGTAGTTACTTTATATCAGCGTTATCAACTTAACATCAATGCATCAATGATACTCCGTTGTTAGCACTCATGCATCAATCATTGATGTTAGCACATCAAGAATGCCCTGACTGGTATTGGTTGACATGTCAGCTCCATTTACCCCTCGATGTTATTATCCGACGGTATTTTTTTCGTCGACAGCACGCCTGGACGTACACAAACGGCATCGATATGAACAGTGTGCTGAAGGGGTTTCCCGAGTGTCTTCAGGCGGACATCTGTCTGCACCTGAACAGGACGCTGCTCGAGGCCTGCAAGGCGTTCCAGGGAGCCAGTCCCGGCTGCCTTAGGTGAGATTGTAGCTGAAGAAGTGGACCTTTTTAAAACTTTGGAGGAAGTATCTCCCCTCTCCCGCAGAGTTTAACGGCTCCTTTCTGGATCCACCGGTTATTGGCTAAACCGGCTTGTTGTTGGCGATGACTTTGTATGTTGTAATCATGATTCTATTTCTAGGCTATGATTAGCAAGATGTTGTGAGTTGTGTAGTGTGCTTGATATTGGATTGACTGAATTCCAACAGTTAACAGAGAAACGGTAGCGAGAGTTACAAAATCCCATGTGTAGGTTGAGATATCCAGGCTGTATTCTATGTAGCGCCCACTGCCTATGTCGCATTGACCAATGGACATCATACACTCGTCTCGGTACCCTGTGGATTAGGTCCGCCTCGTCCTACCGAACTGACGCCATAACACCTAGATGGTTTCGGCTGTAAGCGCCTGGAGCTTATGCTGTACCGCGGGACTTTATGAATAGCTCATAGATGGCGCTAGTGGTAAACGCCTGAAGTATATGCTGTGCCGCATAACATTGAACTCCTTGCCTATCCCGTAACGGACGAGTGGCGCAAAACATCGTGTTTCTTAGTTCTTACTTTCATAGAAATGTATCGTGTCAAAGAACAATCCATTTTCTCACTCGGGAACCGCTGCACGCATCTTGTGTGCACTAGAGATGTCAATGACACCAACTTTTTGGTACAGCGATACCAAACCGATACCAACTTGGTATTCCGTATTTCAATCCTAATGTTTTTAGTAGTTTGTTGGCATTATGAATCCTCGCTAATGTATAAGAGGCTGCGAATTTGGTAAAAAGTTGGTATTTCCCTGATATTCTCAAGTTGGTTCGGTTACGGTATTTTCTCATGGTTTCAGTTGGTATTTGGTTTGTTATCGGTTTTCAAATTTCCCGTATTTAACATCACTAGTGTGCACCCTCGTGTTCCTCTTCTCTGAACTCTGTTGGCGATCTCTCTGCCCCCAGGGCGTTGTCGATGAAGATGAAGACCACGCACGCGCCACCGGGCGACACGCTGGTTCACCGGGGCGACGTGCTACCGTGTCTGCACTTTGTCTCCCGTGGCTCCATTGAAATACTCAAACATGATATTGTGATGGCCATACTGGGTGAGCTCCATGCTTCTGACTCTTTCCAGCAAGTTTGGGTGATAGATGAGTCTGGTAGCTTACGTCGTGATCCTTCGGGATTTTGCTGCCGGTGGTCAGTTCAGCGGAATGGCTGCAAGACAACGTCCCAATCTAAACTTTATACATAATAAACATGGCAAACTTTTCGGTGTTAAGTGATGGATAACCTTTCAGTCCGAGCATTAACAAATTTTGTTTCCTGGTTGCTAATACGAATTTATGTCATCATAAGTATTTATAAGAAATAGTTCCCGTTTACCATTGCAAGTGGTTATCCGGTTTCGAATTTTGCGATGCGTGATATGAAGATTTCATTTCCACATTTCTAAAATTTGAGACGCATTTTTTGTTGTCCACAGGGAAAGAGGACATATTTGGTGAGAACCCTTTGAAGTATCCTACAGTGGGCAAGAGCTCCTGTAATGTGCGTGCCTTAACTTACTGTGATCTGCACAAGATATACCGGGATGATCTGCTGGATGTGTTGGAGATGTACCCCGAGTTCAAGGAGTCCTTCAGCCAAAACCTGGAGATCACCTTCAACCTCAGAGATGTGAGGAGATACATTGGCGGATCACTGTATAGAAATATTTAATGGGATTTGCTTTGATTCTTATACATTAGCATACTGGCAACGCCTTTGGGATCAGTTTTGCTTAGATATCTTCTGAGGCTGGGAAAATGTTGTCAGACCATTGATGTCGGACAAAATGTACCCGAGTATTCGACAGACCCTGAAATGTTCTGTCCTGACCTGATCTGACCTGTTCTGACCCGTTGTGACCTCTCGCTATACAGGAGGAGTGTGCCGGCGTGGATCCGGCGGTACTCAGTAGGCGGGGCCTGTACGCCTCTGACTCTGTGAATGACTCGGACGTCAAGAGTCGGGCGTACCAGCGGCCGCGGCGGCGAGGGTTCGGGCCTAGCGCCACTGAGGAGGAGGCCGGGTGGGTGTCCACTGCCCAGTGCCGCTGTATTCAGATGCTGCTCATTGGACTCTCTGCATCCATGTTGATTGCTTCTGATGTAGCGTGGCGACTGGCGACTGACTACACTCCATCGATGATTCGATCTACATATGTATCTGAAATCACGATATTTTTATTCAGTAATTTTAGCAGAATGAGTAACCATCGTGCAAATTATTTGGCCATCGCAGTCACTCCCATAACCTCTTGCTGGCCAGAATGACACATTTAACTGTCCTTCACGTTCAACTGTTGCTCAGCCTGCGGCCGGCAGTGAGAGCCGAGAGGGCCGTGCGTCTGTCAGTGTGTCCGTCCGTGACCGTTTTCGCCGCCTCGGCCGTCAGTGAGGGTCTGCTGGACGGTGGCGATGAGAGTGGTACGGGTATCCTGGAGTTCTCGCCAGACAAGGCTGGTCAGGACGTGACGCCGCTCAACCTCGACTTCGGAGAGCGCGAGCAGCGGGAAAAGGAGAAACAGCACATGAACTCAATAGCCGGTAAGTGTTCCCGCCGCTTCGCTGGGTCTTCTCCCCACCCTAACCCACCTGCTTATTGGAGTGATTGAACATGACTGTGATGGATGTGTCCCAAGAGTTCCAGCGGCTGGCTAGAAGCTCGTCGAGCCTAATGGCGGCCAAGTTCGGTAGGGATCTGATTTGAGTGACAGCCTGATGCGCTGAGCGGCTGAGCCCGCCTGTGAGCTCGACTTGAGTTCGCTGTGAGTTCGACTGAGCCACCCGCGAGTTGTATGGCCAAGGCTGACGTGTTGGGCTGGCTGCACTGCACTGGCTTGCTGTCCCGTTGGCTCACGTCCTGTTGGCTCACAGTGCGCTGGATCCATTAGTTGTCCAGAGTCCGCCCCTGTTGAAATGCTACTGGCCGAGGGCTAACCCAACCATTTCAGTGAAGTTTGTTGGCATTGAGGTACCTATCATTGCCATCGCCACTACACAGTGGGCTAGTAGTCTGTCCCATAGACATCCTAAGGAAAACCGCTCACTTCACATGCATGGTGCGTATTTGTACCCTGTCACATAAGCCACTCCAACGCAGTTTTATGAAAAAGGGACTTGTTATACATTTGATAATCAAGGTGTTTTACAGTACCGCATGTTTTAGGGTTTGTATTTGATGTACAAGAACGTTTACGTCATTTTCACAGCTAAATGAACGTGAAACGTAAGCCTTAATGGTAATCGTACTTTCCTCCACTTTCTAATGCTTCATAAATCCAGAAAACTGCATTCTTTTACCAGTATTGATTATATGAAAATGGTGTGTGTATAATCCCACTATTTCGATCACTTCGGACGTAACTTATTCAATGAAATACGTCTGTTTTTATAATCAATATTTTTTCAGTTAAAGCATGGCGTAATCGCAGTCAGTGGCATAGCTCAAAATGCGTGCATTTAATTGCCTCTTCTCTTGCCTCAGCTGTCGCAGATAATGAATGATAAAACCTTGCAGCATCGCTAAATTTGCTGAGAACGCTGCACCAATTGGATGTCCGTGAAGTTAGCGTCAGCAACAGCAACGAATACAGCGTCGGATTCAGAATCGCTTAAAAAACTCATGTTAGGTCAATTGGGGGACGGGGAGCAAGAATATGACCTTTATTTGGCCCTAGCTCTTACCCCTTACCCCTTAATCGGCCCTTAAAGGACGGGGCGCGTCAAAAGTGCCTCAAGGGTTCGTCTGATTGCCAAAATAAGGGTCGCAATCGATTCCTCGGGTCAATATCTAGCCGCAGCCTCGGGTTCCAGATGTGTGCAACTTACCCCTTACCCCTTAATCGGCCCTTAAAGGACGGGGCGCGTCAAAAGTTCCTCAAGGGTTCGTCTGATCGCCAAAGGGTCGCAATCGATTCCTCGGGTCAATATCTAGCCGCAGCCTCGGGTTCCAGATGTGTGCAACTTACCCCTTACCCCTTAATCGGCCCTTAAAGGAAGGGGCGCGTCAAAAGTGCCTCAAGGGTTCGTCTGATCGCCAAAATAAGGGTCGCAATCGATTTCCCGGGTCAATATCTAGCCGCAGTCTCGGGTTCAAGATGTGTGCAACTTACCCCTTACCCCTTAATCGGCCCTTAAAGGACGGGGCGCGTCAAAAGTGCCTCAAGGGTTCGTCTGATCGCCAAAATAAGGGTCGCAATCGATTCCTCCGGTCAATATCTAGCCGCAGCCTCGGGTTTCAGATGTGTGCAACTTACCCCTTACCCCTTAATCGGCCCTTAAAGACGGGGCGCGTCAAAAGTGCCTCAAGGGTTCGTCTAATCGCCAAAATAAGGGTCGCAATCGATTCCTCGGGTCAATATCTAGCCGCAGCCTCGGGTTCCAGATGTGTGCAACTTACCCCTTACCCCTTAATCGGCCCTTAAAGGACGGGGCGCGTCAAAAGTGCCTCAAGGGTTCGTCTGATCGCCAAAATAACGGTCGCAATCGATTCCTCGGGTCAATATCTAGCCGCAGCCTCGGGTTCCAGATGTGTGCAACTTACCCCTTACCCCTTAATCGGCCCTTAAAGGAAGGGGCGCGGTAAGGGGTATGTTGCACACATCTGGAACCCGAGGCTGCGGCTAGATATTGACCCGGGGAATCGATTGCGACCCTTATTTTGGCGATCAGACGAACCCTTGAGGGCGTTTTGACGCGCCCCTTCCTTTAAGGGCCGATTAAGGGGTAAGGGGTAAGTTGCACACATCTGGAACCCGAGGCTGCGGCTAGATATTGACCCGAGGAATCGATTGCGACCCTTATTTTGGCGATCAGACGAACCCTTGAGGCACTTTTGACGCGCCCCGTCCTTTAAGGGCCGATTAAGGGGTAAGGGGTAAGTTGCACACATCTGGAACCCGAGGCTGCGGCTAGATATTGACCCGAGGAATCGATTGCGACCCTTATTTTGGCGATCAGACGAACCCTTGAGGCACTTTTGACGCGCCCCGTCCTTTAAGGGCCGATTAAGGGGTAAGGGGTAAGTTGCACACATCTGGAACACGAGGCTGCGGCTAGATATTGACCCGGGGAATCGATTGCGACCCTTATTTTGGCGATCAGACGAACCCTTGAGGCACTTTTGACGCGCCCCTTCCTTTAAGGGCCGATTAAGGGGTAAGGGGTAAGTTGCACACATCTGGAACCCGAGGCTGCGGCTAGATATTGACCCGAGGAACCGATTGCGACCCTTATTTTGGCGATCAGATGAACCCTTGAGGCACTTTTGACGCGCCCCTTCCTTTAAGGGCCGATTTAGGGGTAAGGAGTAAGTTGCACACATCTGGAACCCGAGGCTGCGGCTAGATATTGACCCGAGGAATCGATTGCGACCCTTATTTTGGCGATCAGACGAACCCTTGAGGCACTTTTGACGCGCCCCGTCCTTTAAGGGCCGATTAAGGGGTAAGGGGTAAGTTGCACACATCTGGAACCCGAGGCTGCGGCTAGATATTAACCCGGGGAATCGATTGCGACCCTTATTTTGGCGATCAGACGAACCCTTGAGGCACTTTTGACGCGCCCCTTCCTTTAAGGGCCGATTAAGGGGTAAGGGGTAAGTTGCACACATCTGGAACCCGAGGCTGCGGCTAGATATTGACACGAGGAATCGATTGCGACCCTTATTTTGGCGATCAGACGAACCCTTGAGGCACTTTTGACGCGCCCCGTCCTTTAAGGGCCGATTAAGGGGTAAGGGGTAAGTTGCACACATCCGGAACCCGAGGCTGCGGCTAGATATTGACCCGGGGAATCGATTGCGACCCTTATTTTGGCGATCAGACGAACCCTTGAGGCACTTTTGACGCGCCCCTTCCTTTAAGGGCCGATTTAGGGGTAAGGGGTAAGTTGCACACATCTGGAACCCGAGGCTGCGGCTAGATATTGACCCGAGGAATCGATTGCGACCCTTATTTTGGCGATCAGACGAACCCTTCAGGCACTTTTGACGCGCCCCGTCCTTTAAGGGCCGATTAAGGGGTAAGGGGTAAGTTGCACACATCTGGAACACGAGGCTGCGGCTAGATATTGACCCGGGGAATCGATTGCGACCCTTATTTTGGCGATCAGACGAACCCTTGAGGCACTTTTGACGCGCCCCTTCCTTTAAGGGCCGATTAAGGGGTAAGGGGTAAGTTGCACACATCTGGAACCCGAGGCTGCGGCTAGATATTGACCCGAGGAACCGATTGCGACCCTTATTTTGGCGATCAGATGAACCCTTGAGGCACTTTTGACGCGCCCCTTCCTTTAAGGGCCGATTTAGGGGTAAGGGGTAAGTTGCACACATCTGGAACCCGAGGCTGCGGCTAGATATTGACCCGAGGAATCGATTGCGACCCTTATTTTGGCGATCAGACGAACCCTTGAGGCACTTTTGACGCGCCCCGTCCTTTAAGGGCCGATTAAGGGGTAAGGGGTAAGTTGCACACATCTGGAACCCGAGGCTGCGGCTAGATATTAACCCGGGGAATCGATTGCGACCCTTATTTTGGCGATCAGACGAACCCTTGAGGCACTTTTGACGCGCCCCTTCCTTTAAGGGCCGATTAAGGGGTAAGGGGTAAGTTGCACACATCTGGAACCCGAGGCTGCGGCTAGATATTGACACGAGGAATCAATTGCGACCCTTATTTTGGCGATCAGACGAACCCTTGAGGCACTTTTGACGCGCCCCGTCCTTTAAGGGCCGATTAAGGGGTAAGGGGTAAGTTGCACACATCTGGAACCCGAGGCTGCGGCTAGATATTGACCCGGGGAATCGATTGCCACCCTTATTTTGGCGATCAGACGAACCCTTGAGGCACTTTTGACGCGCCCCGTCCTTTAAGGGCCGATTAAGGGGTAAGGGGTAAGTTGCACACATCTGGAACCCGAGGCTGCGGCTAGATATTGACCCGGGGAATCGATTGCGACCCTTATTTTGGCGATCAGACGAACCCTTGAGGCACTTTTGACTCGCCCCTTCCTTTAAGGGCCGATTTAGGGGTAAGGGGTAAGTTGCACACATCTGGAACCCGAGGCTGCGGCTAGATATTGACCCGAGGAATCGATTGCGACCCTTATTTTGGCGATCAGACGAACCCTTGAGGCACTTTTGACGCGCCCCGTCCTTTAAGGGCCGATTAAGGGGTAAGGGGTAAGTTGCACACATCTGGAACACGAGGCTGCGGCTAGATATTGACCCGGGGAATCGATTGCGACCCTTATTTTGGCGATCAGACGAACCCTTGAGGCACTTTTGACGCGCCCCTTCCTTTAAGGGCCGATTAAGGGGTAAGGGGTAAGTTGCACACATCTGGAACCCGAGGCTGCGGCTAGATATTGACCCGAGGAACCGATTGCGACCTTATTTTGGCGATCAGATGAACCTTGAGGCACTTTTGACGCGCCCCTTCCTTTAAGGGCCGATTTAGGGGTAAGGGGTAAGTTGCACACATCTGGAACCCGAGGCTGCGGCTAGATATTGACCCGAGGAATCGATTGCGACCCTTATTTTGGCGATCAGACGAACCCTTGAGGCACTTTTGACGCGCCCCGTCCTTTAAGGGCCGATTAAGGGGTAAGGGGTAAGTTGCACACATCTGGAACCCGAGGCTGCGGCTAGATATAAACCCGGGGAATCGATTGCGACCCTTATTTTGGCGATCAGACGAACCCTTGAGGCACTTTTGACGCGCCCCTTCCTTTAAGGGCCGATTAAGGGGTAAGGGGTAAGTTGCACACATCTGGAACCCGAGGCTGCGGCTAGATATTGACACGAGGAATCGATTGCGACCCTTATTTTGGCGATCAGACGAACCCTTGAGGCACTTTTGACGCGCCCCGTCCTTTAAGGGCCGATTAAGGGGTAAGGGGTAAGTTGCACACATCTGGAACCCGAGGCTGCGGCTAGATATTAACCCGGGGAATCGATTGCGACCTTTATTTTGGCGATCAGACGAACCCTTGAGGCACTTTTGACGCGCCCCTTCCTTTAAGGGCCGATTAAGGGGTAAGGGGTAAGTTGCACACATCTGGAACCCGAGGCTGCGGCTAGATATTGACACGAGGAATCGATTGCGACCCTTATTTTGGCGATCAGACGAACCCTTGAGGCACTTTTGACGCGCCCCGTCCTTTAAGGGCCGATTAAGGGGTAAGGGGTAAGTTGCACACATCTGGAACCCGAGGCTGCGGCTAGATATTGACCCGGGGAATCGATTGCGACCCTTATTTTGGCGATCAGACGAACCCTTGAGGCACTTTTGACGCGCCCCGTCCTTTAAGGGCCGATTAAGGGGTAAGGGGTAAGAGCTAGGGCCAAATAAAGGTCATATTCTTGCTCCCCGTCCCCCAATTGACCTAATATGAGTTTTTTAAGCGATTCTGAATCCGACGCTGTATTCGTTGCTGTTGCTGACGCCAACTTCACGGACATACCAATTGGCCAACTATTCTTAGTTGATAACATTGTAGCATTTTCTCTTACTTTCTATTCTACTTTCGATGCGAAAATCAACTATAGATGCACATTCTGTCACTCGGCCCTCCCACCGTGTCTGTCTGTGTCTCGATGTCCCCGTCCTAGCTTGTGACTGTCCAGCGACCTCCGTCTCTCCACTGTGAGCAGCACTGCGCTCTGTGCTCGGTCCCGTACAGTGGTGCGCCCTCTATCACAGCCACGCGCCCCACCGTGCGCCACTTCTCACCCGTCTCTCCAACTCTGCACCCGTAGGAGTGTTCTCCAACATCAAACGGTCGATCACAGACCTGCGATTGTTGAGAAGTGAACGGCACGAGCTAGAGCCGCAGCCAGGTAGGCGCCGAGCCTCTGTAGCTGTCTGTCTGTCTGTGTGTCTGTCGCATGCCTCCCAGTACTGACCCTCCAGCCTTGTCGCCGTATGCGAGTGTGTGTATGCCCAGCTTGCTTGCCGTGTACGAGTACACGACCTCTGCCACTGGGGCCTGAGTTGGTTGGGGCCAGAGCCAGCCGAACTCGTCGTGTGGACCGCATCTAGAAGATCACCGGAGGTCGTCGGAGGTATGCGGAGACTGCTGGAAGCTCCCCAGAGGTGACAAGGTTCTGGAGACGCGCTCTTAAAAGTGCCGCGGCACGGACGGAACAGACAGAAGGGCTGAGCGCCGCACGCCGCTGTTCGCAGGTGGTCTGTCGAGCACGCTAAACATAGTCAGTGCCGTGGTCAAGTCTGGCAAACAGGAGCAGAGTCTGCGCTCCTCTCAGCTGCTGGGCGCCGACCTGACGCTAGGTAGAGCCGGCATTCGAGTGACGACTAACTCCGAGCCCGCTGCTCTGTGCCCGCCCCTGCCCCCGCCCCGCCCCCGTCCAATACCCCGCCCCGATCGGCGAGGGAGCCGTACCCTCACCTTCCTTATACCTCTCCCCCTACCCCTACCCGTACCCCAGAGCCGAATTTCCTTTCACTTATCTCACCCACCGTCCCCGGCTGGCCCTTATGGGTTATTTGTTCACCCCGTCTTTGGTTCCTTTCTTCTCCGTGTTCTCTTTCATAAACCCGCCCACCCCACCGCCTGAGAACCTCTCTGTGTAGAGCAAGCATGCCCTCATGTATGACTGTTAGTAGTTCTCTCGGTCGTGTGTTTCTCTGGTGTATGGACCGGTATGATCATGTGACCTATTAGAGTCGATCTCTTAATGATCTGTTCGCTCTTTTTGATCTGTGGAACTGTCTCGGTGACTTGTCGGACGCTCGTGCCGTCTGTTAATTTCATTTTGCACGGGCTATGGTAATGGACTATGTTGTACGAACGATATTGTGTACATTATTGGGCTCTGAATCTGGCGGCGTTATGTTCGAAGGATTGAGGCACAGACACAGCGACGCGTCCGCTAGGTACCACCGAAACTGGCGAGGCAAGTGCTAGAGTCACACACTCTGTCGACTCTAACTATAGTGTGCAGTGGCTAAATACAGTGACTATCACGGCTCAGCGCAGTATTGTGAGCTTTTATGTCGATCCATGTACTATATGGTCATTGCAGCTTCCGCGGAACCAACCTGAGCAACGCTATTATATCAGTGTGATTAGTGCAATTTTTATATGTTGATGTGACTAATCGGTCTACAATTACGCGATAGATACATTGCGTAATGCAAATGTTTTGCAAGTGAGTATAGCTTCTTATCCTACATTCGTAAAAAGCCTGCAATGTTGGCACAGTCGGCATTAAACGCCTTTCTGCACAGTTTCAACACAAACACTATATGTGATTATAAAAGATCAACTTATTCTACATGGCTAACCTATACAATATACATAAACCCTAATCGTGTCAAAATTAAACCGATACATTTGTTATGAAGACAATTTTTGTTTTGACATTAATCTCGGGGTCTTTTCGTGTTCCGCTAATAAATGCTACTTTCTGTGGCTAACATTACTCCCGGTGCTAACATGTGTTGATCTGTGTGCGCTTTGTAACCCTGGTGGCTTTCGCAAGTTCTGTTGTCTGTGATTTTAACATCTGTATTGCAGCGTTGTTGATATGTAATGACTGATGTGGAGCGGTCTCTAGCAATGAGGGAGATTGGACCAAGGCGTTCGCCATGAGCATTCGGTTGCAGTTATCCCGCATAAAGATCAAACGCTCCATATAATTCAACTTTGGGTTAACGACAGTTTAGATACAATTATTGTGTAAAAATGTCGATAATCGTATCCGGTCCGAAAACTCAGCACTGCATACAGATTCCCTTGCAAATGTGCACGTTCAGTTACATTGGATACCGATGCATTATTTAATTTCGAGGCTATCATCCGATCTTTCATTAGCTTTGTTGACAGGAGCGCACCGTATACATGTAGTTGCAGATGAATGTAATCGGTCGCAGCTAGATGATATCGCTGTTACGTTTAATCATATTTTGTTGTTTTTATGATCGGAATGGTGAATCGTTGAAATGTAACGATAGTAAAATTTCAATGTTTGAAATGATCAACCATGTTAGGGCGAACGTCGTAGTTCAATCTCCCATCATGCATTTGGTATGCCTTTTTGGTGGTGGGCATGATGACCATATACAGGCATTGTTGTGGATGACATTCGGATGTGACTCAAAGTCAGCTAAATGACTAAATGACAGAGAAGGATTAGTGAACTAAATGACAGAGAAGTCATTTAGTTCACTAAATGCCTTGTAAGATGCGTGTCTTTTTAAAAGCTTCCATATCAAAGAGGATAGCTTGCTGTGTAGCTGTGTCCCGTCTGTCCCCGCTGACTGTTTCATGTGCCGGCCGCCAGGGTCGCTAGTGCAGCGGCGGCACTCGGAGATCCCCAGTCGCTCGTCGTGGCTGTCTCGGCGCGAGCCGGAGCCGGCAGCGGCGGCGGCAGCGGCGGCAGAGACCGTCAGCAGCGCAGCCGTCAACGCGCGGATAGACGACTTGAGCAGGTGAGGGGAGGCGCCGATAGACGTCCTAAATAGGAGGGGTACCGCTGTGAGCTCAGTTAATGGTTGAATTTGCATCCTGTGTTATGTGATGTTTACTAAACCGGTAGCAGTCCGTTTTCCGAGCACATTCAGACAGTGCTACAATGACGGCCGTTTGACTGACCGCTCACGTCTCTCCCTCAGACAAGTGCAGCGGCTAGACAATCGGCTGTGTACTGTAGGCGTATAGTCAATCACAGGTGTTTGACTAACTGGGAACGTCTCCCCCTCAGACAAGTGCAGCGGCTAGATGACCGGCTGCACGAGACGCTGGAGACCATCGTCGGTCTGCTGCGGGACCGGGACCGGGACCGGGGGTGTACGGACCGGCTTCAGGTCACCGACGAGAGACGGTCCCCCTTCAGAGTACCTGACTCACTACAAAGGTACACACTACACATGCAAAGGTCCTTTAGAGTAATGTCAGAGATCATGTTATTCTAACAAGTGGCTTTCAGTTGAGTTCACAATTGCCCACGCTGGTCTGCTTCAAAACCGGAGTACTTCGTCAGAACTGAGAGCTTTAGAATGACTCGATAACATTAACGTGGTTAAGGATAAAGTCATTTTATCGTGATGAATTCAACCAGTGCGCCACACACCATTTCCGCTACTATGAGGCTTGCACAGTCTGGAACGCCTTGTGGCATGTTTCGTGATAAAATCGCTTCACATGCAGCGCCACACCTCCCACTGACGCGGTGTGTCCGTGCCGCAGGCGCCAGCCGTCTATTTCGCCGTCGGATAACGGCGGGGGCGGCGGAAGCGGGGGCGGCGACCCGTGGCAGCCGGCGATGCCTTCCTCCCTGCCGAGCGATGCGCCGGCCGGCGGACGGCCACCGCCGCCTCGCAGCCACTCGCAGCCGGTGGATCTGACCCAGGTCAGTGGTGCATCATGGATGACGTGTCACAACGGTCGCCTGGCACCTATCTCCTGACGGTTTAGGGTATAACCCCGTCTGACAGGGGGAGACAGGGTCAGTTTAGACGACTCGGGTCAGTATGGAGGGGAGGAAGGGATAATAAAAAGACATGAGTCCATAGTTTAGTAGAGACGTTTGAGGTCAACGTAGCTTTCGTGGAGTTGATTTCATCCAATCAGTTGATGTCATACCATTACCCAGAAGAAAGTTCCGTAAGACGATGATGTTTTAATGCTCACAGATCGGGTTATCTCGACTGCTCACGTCTATCCACAGTCTATGGGCCCTATCAGACCCCCTCGACGGTCCACAGTGGCACCTGCTCTAACCTCCGACCCTGGTTTTGGTCCCCACAGTTCCCCCCTCAGCGGTCCAGCTGGGGTCGGCAATCGTCCCTGTCCCCGGCCGCCGAGCCGACCGGGTCGACGGGCTCGGCGCACCACCGGACGGCCGCCACCGCACTCCAGGTAGAGGAGGCGTGTAAGCAATGTTCCGCTTCTCTCCCGCCTCCCTCCCCGCCGCCGAGGGCCGCACCGGGCCCCGTCCGGCCCGGCCGGCGCCAGTAGGCTCTCTCTCCTCTGGTGTCTCTCTGTGTGCGTTTGTGTGTGCGCCGCCTCCGCCAGCGGCGTGCGCTTTGCCGCGAGCCGCGCCTGTGCCTGGGCGCGGCCAGCTCTACTCTGTGGCTGTGTCGTGTTGCTGGAATGGCTTGACACTTTTTGATGGCCCCGTCTCTTTGCTGTGGGTGCGCGGGCGCGGGGTGTGGGGGCGGCTGCTGACGCTGTGGTCGTTCGCTAGGTGGCGCCGGCGCAGTCGGCCGACCAGGCCGAGAACAGCTCGTGACCGACAGTGGTGACACGCCGCGATCGTGAATAACGTGAGAGAGCTCGACTCACACGGCGCGCGCAACACTCACACAGACTCGGTAGAAATGTAACTTACACGCAGCACAGTCGTACCACGATATCGGTACAAACGGTAGACGCAACACCAAGACACTGACGATAAAATGTCTTTACCGATTTATGATGCTTCACCGTTCCATGCTTCTATCCTCAGGATACTGAAATCCTTCTCATCCACGCCGCAACCCCCCCCCCCCCCCCTCCGGGCTGGACAGGCAACTTTATCTCATGCGGGCTGCTCCCTTGGAGCGGCACCGCTGCTCCCGAGGGAGTGCACCCCGTAGCCGGGTGCAGTGAGTGCCTTGGGGCTGGGTGGCCTGTCCTCTGGACGGGCTCAGCCCCGGCGACTCACTAGGGTGCCTGCCCAGACCAATGTCTCCCCCTATATCCTATCATCCTCCCGGCTCTGAAATGGTCTAATTGGACCGAAAGGGCCTAACCCAACAAAACAAACAAAACAAAACAAAATATGATGCTTCAATGATATCTATCTAAATTGACTAGCAGTATACTCACACTTGACCTAAAATGGATTTTTATGAGAAAGAAAATATGAACGTTTGGCCACGGGCTGCTAAATTAAATGGCTGCCCGAACTACAGTAAACGGTGTTTTAAAAAAAAAGCAAAATATACACATTGTATACCTACACATTGTAGTGGGTTTACTCTAGTTTTTCTCTTTAGGTAGCTAGGATGTGCAGATCACAGCGTGCTTACTATTTAGTTGAGGTCTAGTTGGGCTTCTGTTTTATGTCTAGCTGTAAATCTGGCTTCTTTCCTACCTATTCTCCCAGCGTTGTCGCTTTGTCAAATGTCGAGTGAAAGCACCTGTGCATGCATATCGAAATTGTTCGCATAGGTGCGTAATTTTGTGCCTGAAATTCGTGAACACATTGAACATATCACTCGGTATGAAACGACCAAAAGACCTTTTCATTTGCATTTTTGAGAGCATTTCAGCATATATTGCTATTCGCGATAAACGTACATGCCTGAATACGAAAGAGAATGTCACATTTCATTATATTTACAAATTACACCTCTTTTCAAGCTCAATTGACCAGTTGTCTGCGCTAGCCGCTCAGCCCTCAGAGGAACTGTGAACCCAGTGTGTTGACTGTCCGCTCTGTGCCCGCTTCCAGGAGCCGTCCGTCAACCGTGAGTCTCGCTCGTCAGACGTCTAGTGCTCAGCGCGCCTGTCTGGCGGACCCGGCGGCGGCTCGGTGACCTCTGGTGACCTCGAGTGACCTCAGGGGACGGCTGGGCGCCGAGGTGCGGCCGGGCTCGGTCGCGCGGCGCACGCAGTCAGCTGGCGCGACCTGTCAGCCCGAGACCGCCTCACCGGCCAGAACCACCGGCCCGGCGATCACACGGCCTCAGCGGCTCGGCTGCATCGGCTCCACTCATCTCGGCAGTCAGCTGGTGGTCGGACAGCTTCGGACAGCCCCTGTGCTACGGTCTGCAGGTGGCGCCACCAGGGGGTGTGCAGAGGTCGCCGGTGACGCGTTGTAGATGGCGCTGGCTGCGTTGGAGCGCTCAGAGAGGTAGTGGCCACTGGCCATGACACCTGGCCACGCGGCCTTCTCGTGTGCGACGGTGAAAGGAGCGGGCGTGAAGTGTCAGTGCGTCGTGGCCAATTCGGCGTGCGAAGACAGAGGAGGTTCGCGTAGCTCGGAGTCGCGTGTCGAGATCGGGTAGAGCAGGAGAGGAGTACCGTCGGAAAGAGTGAGCGTCCGGCTGCCAGCGGCCGCGGAGCCGTGCCGTGAGGCGGTGTCATGACTCAGGAATCTGTCTATATCAGGGCGCGCCGCCGGGCCGCCGGGCCGGCCAGCTGACCGGCGAGCGCCGCGCCCGGCCACGTCTCGTAGCCTACAGCAGTGCACAAACACTCCCACCACTTCTATATTCCTCTTCTTGTCACTCTTACCTTCTATAATATCGCGGCTTAGAGGGCGATGCGTCGTATCGAGTGCACCCTCGACCGACAGCCGTCAAAAGCTGTAGAAACGCTTACTTACTCGTTCACTACGTCCTCGGGACGGGTCGGGACCGCGCCGCCAGTCTCCCTCTATTTCTCGGCGCGGCAGGCCCGGTCGAGATGGCTTGGTGAACACCGTCCGTATTCAATATTCATGCGATCACCCATCATCGGTCCGAGTAGCGAACCGTTCGCCGATTCCACGATTGTCACGGCTGCTAGTGGGTTGTATTTCGCCGGCTTCCGTGCAGGTGCTTGGTCATCGTTGCCCATCTCAGTTGTCATATAGGTTTGTGTGTTATCCTTGAAGTGTTCCTTGTGCCTGTTGATTTGGTTGTTCTCCACCAATGGATGCGTGCTTGTTACTCCCAAGTTCTTCCGAATTCCTTCCTTTACCGCTCTGATCTAACCATCGCAAGGATTTATACCCTGTTGATTAGTCGTTACCCTTTTGAACCTCTCTGAAACCTTTCGTTATCATGGGCTTAAACCACGCTCTGCCCGCCACCATCCCTTGACCCTGCCCGACTTTTCCCCTGGCGTTTTCTCTCTCTCTCTCTCAGCCTGTTGTCTGTCCGTCTGGCGGCTGGTGCTGCCCTGGTGGCGCTGTAGCCCCCACCCCTCCGCCCCAGCCCGTACGGCGGGGTGTATGTGATATGGCGAGGTCCGTATTCTCATTCCAGGCGCGACGAGCCATCGCGCTCCGCCGCTCAGTAGTGTGCAACTATACACGATACGCAGGTTTATATTATACGCCAGCGGGCGCGGCGGCTAGTTAAGCGTAGCGCGCCGGGCTGGCCGCGAGGGATATCTGCCTTGCTCGGGCCCGCGGACTGGCGGCTGCCCGTCCGCTGCGCCGGATCGGCAGCACGCCGTAAGATCTGACTCGGGGTGTGCGGGCCGCCACCGCCGCTCGCGCGCCGTGCAGCCTCACCTCGAGAATGCCTGCCTTTAGCACGCAATCAAAATGCTACCGGCACCGTTCAGCGATCGACCCCATTTGGCCCCCGGACGCGCGCGCGAGCCGCTCTGTCCGGGCCCCGCCTGCAGATCACCCGCTCCGCTCGCTCCGTCTGTTTGAGTCTCCAGAGTCGCGCCCGAACCTCGGACAGGCCAGTCTCGGATGGGAAATCAAAACGGGAAACTGCCTTACGCCCATTTCGTGGCCGGGCATGCCCCGACCCTCCCGTTTGTTGCTGTTATGCGTTTCCCTGAATTTTACGTTTTGTTATGCTGTTGGTAGTTGTTTCGTGGCTTTCCTCTATGTGTCTGACCTGGCGCGCAGGAGGGAGGTATTTTATACAACCGACGCGTCGTTGCCAGCGCTGGCGGGCCGGTCACGGAACGTCCGGTCCGACATCGGACCTCGGCTGCCCACCTCAGCCGCCCCACCTGACCGGAGTTCCTGTCGCACGCGCCCGCCACTCACAGCCGGAGCGCCGGCGCGGCGTCCGTTTGGATAGGTTGCCCGTTTGGTTTGTGGTCGTTGCTCTCTGCCCCTCTCTGTCTCTGTCTCTCTCTTGGCGCGCGGGTGACTCTAGGGCGTCCCGTGGCCGCCGAGTGCGCCGCGGTGTGAGGTGGTGGCCACTGCAGAGAGCGAGCGAGCGAGCCAGCGAGCGCGAGAGAGCGAGAGAGCGAGCGTGTGTGCGCATTGTGCGGCGAGCGGCGCCGCCTCCGGCCCCCGCCGGCACCCAGGGCCGACTGGCTCACACAATACGGCGCTATTTTAAGCGAGATTACTAAATGAGACATCACTGTAATAAACGTTCAAACTGCAATAAGGAATATCTGCGTTTGTGTGTGGAGCTGTGGGGATGCAGAGTCGAGCAACAGTGAACAGACGAACATGGCAGTAGCGATAACTGTCTGAAACGTCGCAGTGTAGGATAACTAGCGAGGTTAGAGAGGTCATTCGCATATTCTAGCTATCAATCTTTGAACACACAAGTACTTAATGCAATAATAACAAAATAAAAGGCTTCGTCCGGCCACCTAAAAGTTTTATTCAATTGTTTAATTATTCGTAAGACTTCGGCGGCGCATTTAAATACGATGAATTATTTATGCGAATTCATACAACAACATCTGGAGCGGTTTAGAAGACGGCGACCCAACTGAAGCCCCTCTGATCCGGTTTCCGAGCCACTATAATATCAGCTAAACGGATTGGGAGGCAACTGAGCATGGAGCGACTGTCACTGATGCCCGTGCCACTGCAACCAGCTAAAACCAGAAAGAAGTTCTCGACGATGTCACTGAGGTCAAGGATGAACGGTTATATGCATTAAAAAATGTTCAGTGCTGAGTTCTGAAGTTGAGCTACGAACATAATAACATTAGTCAAAGGAAATAAGGAAATGTTCCGTGTATGTGATTTCATTTGTGCGCATTTTAATACTTTCAGAAACCTGCAGTACAAAGATCCTTCAAATATGCATTCGGGTACCTAATCTATAAAGCAAAGGCAATAAATATATACCATGCATTATGTCTACACAACACCCTATGCATAATCATGTCTTGTCTACATACATTCTTCAGATTCAACGACCAATTGTATGTCCGTTCTCATACAGTCATTGCGAATGTAAACAAGCAATCAGCCAAAAAAGCGATTCAAGCCATACAGTGAGTTGGCAATGTGTCAAGGATCCTGTCGCGAGCATCACGTCCACATCAATTAATTATTGAAGTACATGGCACACGTAGGCAGGCTTACGTATTTTCCGTAGCCCTCGACTTCACTGAATTAGGGCTCGGCTGGGGCCGCTTCTATACGCCCACGCTCCATAGCTCACTCTCCCTCCCCTTCCCTCCCCGACGCCCACATCCGACAGGGTCCGTCGTGTTGCCCTTCCCCTCGCCCCCCCCCCTGAATCGACACCCGTCCGTCGGGATGCGGCAGTAGCTGACCATTCACGATCGGACCGACCACCGGCCGACGCCACAAATTCCATTCCGGCAGTACGAGCACCGGCCCGCCTGCGCTATATGCTGTGCCGCAGTGCAGGGATGCGCGGCGGCACAGTATCTCGGTGGCGCCAGCCAGGCTTCAGTGGAGCTGGGCATGGTTCTTTGAAGACTGTAATGATACTAATTATTCATTTAGATAGCGATGGATGTTTTATGCTCAATTTTACATAGATATACTACTGCGCGTACTTTTTATTTTTATTCAATTCAAGCACAGTTGGTGCCTCAGTTATTAGGTATGTGCCTATCGCAACAAGTTCGGAGCCAAAGGACTTTGTAATATCGGTTACCGAACAGAGGCCGATTATACCGACAGAGCGGGACCGGTGTTTATGGGACGGATCACCACAAAATCATTTGACTGAGATGCAGGCCGGAGTTTCCTCAGCCGTCGCTGAATGGTGCGTCTGTCTCAGACCACACTCAGTTTACAGTCGAAGGAGTAGCACTATTCAGAATTCACACCAACCGGCCCGAAGGAATGGCAACATCAATGCATACGATACTGGTCAACTGAAGGGTGCTTCTTCAGAGAGAGAGAAAAGAAAGAGAGTGAAAGAGAGAGAGGGAGGGAGGGAGGGAGAGAGAGGGAGAGAGAGAAAAAAAGAGAGAGAGATAAAGATACAGATACGTCGTCTTGTCCTCATTGTTACCGTTTGCATTGATAAATGTCCTATGTTTTACATGAGATAGTTTGCTGGGCGTGGTCCACGTCTTCCGACCCCGATGAACCATCTCAGTCGGGGAAGCCTGATGCAAGGTCGGCACTGGGTGCTCGCCAGGACTGACCTAGCCGCTCCACGCCGGGTCACACGGTCCCCGTCGCTGTGGAGCACCCAGTGGCGACGAATGGCTGAAACTGCGCATGGCGAGACGCAGGTGTTGTGCTTGGCCCGTGCGCCACTCGCGTGAGCCATGACACTCTGAGCTCAAGGACTAGGAGCTAATTGGATGCGACATATATCATCTCTGAGCTCTGAAGGGCTTCACTTGCCTCACTTTGTCATTAGATTCATTTATTTAAATATAAATGAATTTTTAATAGTAAGCTATATTTAAAATAATATCTAAAAGTAAGCTCTTACCGGAACTGCTCAAATTTACATCGCACCTAGACAGTGCTACAAACATGTTCTCACAGCCGCTTCGCACTACTCATTAAATCGACCGCCGTTATGTTATATTGCACGACATCGACCCGCTAAAAATATGGGTGAGTAATTCTCCTGGGCAAGCGTCACGCAGCACCACAATGCCCCCAGCGACTCATTAACTATTAACTGACAGCCGGACCCGACTTGTTGCCGCGGGGGATGCCCCCCCCCCCCCTGTCCGTCCCACATCACTCGCCGTCAGCGGCTGCGTCACTAACGTCATCTGTAGTGGCGCGCGGTGACGGCACGGTGGCCGCGGCGACAGCTGCCGCCTCCCCATTGTTCCCGCTCAACAGCTTGCGTCAATATTTGATAGCGTATATCGCGCTGACGGCGACCTCCGCAGCCAATAGAGCGTCGATGGTGTGCAGTGCACCGCGCCGCGCCAGTAGTGCACGGCCAACTGCGTATCTCATGCACTGATAATGCACTGGAGGCCACAAAACGCGCGTGCGGAGGCTGGTGGCTTTGGAACCGACCGTTCATTGGCGATTTGTTGCACATTTGTTCCTCTGGAACTGTCGATCGTCTGTTCGTCTGTCTGTCCGTTGGTGGCTTACATGTGATCTGGTTCCAAGTCACGGACCAGTGCCTGAAGGAGCAGAACCTAGATGAGGAATAAGGTGGTTCATAATGGTACTAAAAACGAATGAATGAATTCCACGGTGAGAATCCAAAATGAATTATTTTCGTTCCAATAGGAAAATTACCACTCAAATTAGGACAAAAATATTAGCAGTTAAGATAGATCGCACTGCCTACTTTTAGATTGTGTTGGTGCTGGTGGATATGTCAGCGTATCCTTTCCTTGAAACTGCTGCAAACATTAGCCGTAGCTTGGAAAAATAGCTGAACCATGTCCAATTTTCGAACATCATTTGTAACGGCTATCTGACTTGGGTGAAGTAAAATGTAGCCGAACGGGAAGAGAAGAAGAAATTGTTAAAAGCGAATGTGATTAAATTTGCAAGGCAATTGCACGTTCTACAAAAACCAACATTTTCAAATGTACCTAACTCCATTGGTGTGATGGCAGGGGCGTAACATTGCAGCCAGGGCCCAATCTTATCTTATCTGGAGCGCTCTGAATATTTATGTCTGAAAAATGTAACATCTCTGATGGTATTTCCGATGCATTTCACCTGACTATTTCCGCCGGCACTTCAAGAGGTCCTACAAGCCTTCAGGCTGGCCAAACTAATTCCGACCTTGACCGCTGGCCATTTATCAAGCATGTAACTACGAGTATAGGTAATCGAGAAAAGTAATGTCTGAGCTATGCATTTTGTGATGCATTATCATTTCGAAGAACGCTGTGACCTATTGGATGCACTCTGCTGGCGAGTGCATTATTCTCGCGTTGGACGCACTCACCTGGATCCCAATGCTGCCACCAGACACAATCATCTCTGATTATACATGGACAGACAGGTAATCAGGAGTAAACAAAGCTCTCTGATCGATGGCTGTTGCAAAGACGGCGTGATGGATTGGCGGAGGACTGTCCACCGCCGCAGCCCACGCACCCATTCACACGTCAGAGGTCAGAATGAAAACGTGCAGGGCGCCGGCGAGGGCCATTTCTCATTATACCGACAGACTAAGTGATCCATAATCAATAAGTAGCAGGTGCCGGTAGTCGGTACGGCCGGCCACGCAGCCCAATTAGTCCCAGTAATGGCACGTGTTGCCACTGCGGCGAACCGATGTCCCGACAGGTGCAGGACGATTGACTTAACGTTAGCAGGGTCTTCTGTTCTAATCTACATAGGTTCATTACTGCCCGTATTTTTTATTAGAATGCCAAAAGAAATATTATCAGATGAGCTCAACTTTGTAACATACCTTGATTAACCTTCGCCCCAGTGGGGGGGGGGGCATATGTTACCATCCTGTCGCGTTTTTTGCGTGTGAATAAAAAACCGCGGCGCGTAGCGCCGCGCCGCTTGGGGTAGCTTTTGGTACATCAATTTTGGACAATGTGTGAAATTTTTGACCCCAGGTCATGTCAGGTCAGGTCACCAGGTCAAGTTAACTGACCAAGCCTAAAAAAAGTTTGCAATCATGTCCAGCCTGCAGTGTTTGTCAGAAAGGTTTCAAACTTGGTGAATTGCATGCTGTTATGGGCGACTACAATTTGTATATCTCGGATTTTTTATATCCGTGACCTAAGGTCAGGTCAGTGGCGTGACCTTTCCATTACAAGTCAATGGGGAAAAATGAAAATGCCTCTAGATCCGTGTATACGCATGGGAACAGTCCAAATATTTCAGATTCACAATGATTTGGACCACCCGTGATGACCAAGGTGTCATTTTTTGCTGATAGCCTCTATAAAGGTCATCCGAGGTCATTTGAGGCTACAAACAGTTTTTTGCCAATAACTCGAGATTGGAAAGAGATAGAACGCTGGGGATGGTCTCATTGTGTTTGTCTTGTTGAGACGCATCGACCGATATGCAACATGACCTTTTCCGGTCAGGTCATCACCTTGACCTGAGGTCAAATTTTCAAGTTGACCTTTCAAGGTCAAGTTATAGTTCATTCGACGCGTCTCGGCGAGAGGAACACGATTCTGGCAATAAGAATGTCGTAGCTTTTTGCAGTCGAAAGTTATTGTCGAAAAACACTTTTCGTAAAAACAGCTATTTTTGGAGTTT